GCAGTAAGTGGGACAGACTTTAGAACATTATATCAGGTTTCTTAGTAAGTCAATGGCATGGGGATAAAAGAGAGTGCGATGAAGAAATAGTGCTCTAAATTAAGATTTTTAAGAATCCTCACAACTTAGGCAACATAGGGAATTAATTGGGGGCTCTCATTTGAGCAAACCTACCATAAAAAGATATTTATAAGATAAGAACATTTAAGTCCATAAATGATTAAATTATGCCAGTACAATATTATTATTTTAGTTAGATGTGAAAGTGGATTGATAAGAACACACTTTCATGTAAAGATGTAGGAGTGAGATCAAATCAGGTGGGTGGCTTGCTTTAAAATCCTTCATTTAAATAAAGCAAAAGTGGAAAAATCTTGACAATTGCCAAGTGGTTGATATGCATGTGGTAATCAACCACAATTCATATCTTATTCTTTTGTGTGTGTATGTTTTTATAGTAAAACTTCAAAAATAACCCAACCACGTTAACTATTTTGGAAAAATCTGCTAGCTCTCAGCTGACTAAAGAACAAAATCTAAACTCATGAGCTCTATAGATTGAACCCAAACCAGTTTTCAATCTACTTCTGTATTCCCAGTAATTCTACCTTGCATAACTCTCGTTTCACTTTTTCCTAAACTTTCCATGACTTATCATGACTCCAAATCTTTGTGGATTTCATCCCCACTATCCAAAATTTCCTTGTTCTCCTCACATAGCAAATTACTCATCCCAAGACTGTACACGATATATTTGCCATTGAGACAAGGCATTCAGTCAGAATTAGTCATCCTCTCCAAGTTTCCCCTTTATCCATGACTCTCTGCAGATCTTACTACATTCTGTTGTAATAACCAAGCCAATGTCTCTATGTCTCTGTATTCCCAGCACCTCAGTAGGGCCCAGGAAACAAGGAGTGCTTGATAAGTGTCTATCATATGAATGTAATGCCTGTAGAGTCAATTCTTTCTTTGTGAATGTCCTCCTGATGACCTAAAGAGAGCGAATACAGAAGCAGCATTTTTCTGTCTTGCACTTTTTCTCCAGTCTTATAAATCTTCCCAGATATTCAACTTCTCTACCATGGAAAGAAAATCACAATTCTAAACTTCCAGGCTACAGAAATATGTTAATATTTCATTTGTAGACACCAGCAACAAATTAACTGTGTCGTTAAGATTTAATGATTTTTTAGACTAAGCTGGGATTTATCTTTAGAAAAACATTGAGACTTGATTCCTTTAATGAACTTTTTTTCCTGACCCAGCAATACCTAATTTCTACTTAATTGCTTTGTGTTGACATTAACTTTAGTTCTTTGGGTTCCTCCCCAAAATGTATCCTCATGGAGGCTGCTGCCAAACTGTTTGCCTGCAGTGTATTATTTTTTTCTTAGAATTCTTGAATTAAAAGATATAAAACCATGTGCTTTCCTGTTGGTTTTTTTTTTTCCACTTTAAGGTGCTTTATATGTTATCACTCTAATAGGAATTTCGATCTTTCAGAATGACTGGTTTTTTGAATGATTTTAAGTCAAATAAGCCATTTTTTTTTGTTGCAAAGTATTGATAGTTGTAACCCACAAGGCTTTGAATGTGTGTGTGCATCCTCTAGATGAATGAATCACCTCTTCAGTATGATGATAGGATATTTTCAAACTCCTACAGCAAAGACAAGAAAAGCTTGGTTAATGAAAGTGTACAATGTGGTATATCCATACAGTGGGGTGTTACTCAGCAATAAAAAGAATGAAGATCTAATACATGCTACATGGATGAACCTTGAAAACCCTGTTCTAAGTAAAAGACCAGATACTGTATTATCCCATTTATACAAAGTGTCCAGAATAGGAAAATCTGTAGAGAGAGGAAGATCAGCGCCTGTCTAGGACTGGAAGGGTTGGATGGAAATGAGAGGAGACTGCTAATGGGTATAGGATTTCTTTATGAAGTGATTAAAATGCTCTAGAATTAGGTAGCTGTGATGACTGCACAAGTCGGGGAACATACTAAAAATCATTGGCTTGGAAACTTACTGTATATAAACTATATCTCAAATAAAGCTGTTCTTTAGCACTTAGGCATGATCCTCAGATACATTATTTTTATGGTAATGCTGGCTGGTATATAACAAACAAACTCAGACATTATGGTGGCTTCACACTATCTAATGTGCCTTCTCATTCCCATAATGGGTATCCCTGGTAGGTGAGGAGTATCTGATGCATTCAGTCAGAGACCTAAGTTCTAGCCATCTTAAGTCTCTAGGTCTTCAGAGTCCTCTGTATGTAGCTGGGAGAGGCACAGCCATTTCTCTGCCCTCTCACTTGGGAGTACCCAGTATCACTTTCACTCAAGTTTTGTTGCATCACAGAGCACATCTAATTGCAAGAGACTCTTGGAAATATAACTTAGTTGTGGTCCACAAAGAGGAGGAAACTGTTTTAGCAAATGGCTGTCTAGTCTCTGGGATAATGATCCCACCCTTCCCATTCTTTCCATCCTCTCTCCCTTTTCACACCTTCCCAACTTACATGTACTTATCTCCAAGTCTTTCTCATAGTTTACTCATCACCTAATATAGCTCTGTATTATACATTCTAGGTCTTTAATTAGGCACATATAGAGTATTCTATATTCTATACATCTGATGCCAAAGCTGAAACTCCAGTACTTTGGCCACCTCATGCGAAGAGTTGACTCATTGGAAAAGACCCTGATGCTGGGAGGGATTGGAGGCAGGAGGAGAAGGGGATGACAGAGGATGAGATGGCTGGATGGCATCATCGACTCAATGGACATAGGTTTGAGTAGACTCCGGGAGTTGGTGATGGACAGGGAGGCCTGGTGTGCTGCGATTCATGGGGTCGCAAAGAGTTGGACGTGACTGAGCAACTGAACTGAACTGAACTGAGAATACATCTAGGGCTTCTGAGAATCAGATACGACTTAGCAGCTGAGCACGGCACAACACAGTATACATCTATTAGAATGATTAGACTGCTTTTAATCCTTTAAGTGGGAGGAGAGTACAGTTTGCTTCATATGCAGCACATGGGGATTTGTCACCTTTTCCTTTCACTCCTTAATTTATAGTCTTTGTGATCAAGTCTTTCTTTAACAAGTCTATTCTTGGTACTCTCCACTTAGCACATTTAATGGCTCCCATTGCTTACAGATATAGTTTTCAAATACCAGGCTGCAGACTGCTGTGAGTCCACAGTGACGTGATCAAAATTAAGATGGTGTTGTGTGTGTGTGTATGTTTGTGTTCAAGGTCGCCAACCACCCTTGTTCAAAAATTTTATTTAAAGATTGTGTCCTTCCAATCTTTGGGATATGATTTTTTTTTTCTTTCATGAAGCCATGGTGTTAGCTATTTATTTTAAATGTCTTTTCTTTCTAAAATAGATTTAACTTTATAGCCTGTCAAAATGTGTGCAAACATGTACTTTGAGAGCCATGGAGCAAAATGATGTCTTTTGAGAGAAAAATGTATAGAGTTGCAATTCTCAGAACACTTGGAAGGCACATCCTGTCTGCAGTCCTAATCACTGATGTGTCATTTTGACCTTCTGCTTAGACGTGTGTCTATATATGGTTCATGGGGACAAGACCAGGTGTCTTGGTTCATATATGGTTTATGGGGATAAGAGTGAAGATCTTCTGGGAATTTAGGGAGTGTTGTAAAGAGGGTGAGAGGTCTCATACTAGATCATGTGTGAATTTCTCATAGGATTGATAGTGATGAAAGAACAGCCTAAAATCTTAGTTACAGTTTGTAGAGGAGGAAAAACTTCCTTCTCCCCCTTTAGGTTCTGTGACTGGCCTAAGAATTAAACTGACATGAGGCAGATCAAGAGGAGAAAAGCATATACATTTATTTAATATTTTTACATGTACACAGGAATCTTCAGAAGGAAAATGAAAACCTGAAGAAGACATTAGGCTCCCAAATTTATAAACTTTTTAACACAAAGAACAATAAATTGGGAGGATGTGACAAGACAAAAGGGGCGTGGGCTGGGGGCAGTAAATTGTGGGACAGTGACTAGGAAATAAATGGGGGAAGCAATGTAAGATAAGGGTGATTTTAGCAGGTTTTTTGTACAGGTCCCTTTTGGTGTCAGTGCCCAGTGTCTGGTGATAAGAATGTGCTTCGCTTCCTAGTGCAGTGAATACACCTGTACTACATGGGAAATTTTATGACCTCCTTTTAGGTAGAAAGGGATCAGTCAGAGATCTCTTCCTGCACCTACTCTTTCTCAAGTGCCTTTAGCTCAAAATAATCATAATGCCAAAGCAATATATTTTGGGTGGCACATTCTGAACCCTCCAAATCCATAAAGTGCATTGAAAACACCCAATTTCACTTGACCAACTTTCTCATGCTTAAAGTTGGCCTTATATATACTTGGAGACATACCCCAAACATACTTCTACTTATGTTGTTTATAAATGAACCACTTAAAAATTGTAGTCCAGAACCTCAAAATGGACCCAAGTAGCCCTATTTCAGATTTAGTAATTTTCTATTCTCTCAAACCCATGTGTGTCAACATCTGGCATCTGGCTCAGCGTGGGTCCTCATGTAAGTTATGCCAGGCTGTCGGGCCTCAGTGTTCACCTGTGGAGATGGAAAACAGGGTCAGTCTGATTCCTAGTGTCCCTTCAGTTCTAACACTGTGGAAACTGAATGATTCATGCCTGGTGCATATGTATTCTGTGGTGAAATCGTATCAAAGGCTTTATTTTCTATCTATGGTTAGATTCTGACAAACCTCAAAGAAAATAAAATATGTGTTGTGTGTTTAAAGCTTACATGGAAACTACCCATCATCTGGGTGTCTTGGAAAGAAAACTAGAGATAGAGTTTGTATTTGTTATCAGTGACCTGGGTTCTACATGGATCTAGGCTTCCCTCCAACAGTGGAGGCTTTATCCTTACACCAGGAGCGGTGTGAAACTTAATTCACTTCAGAACTTTGCTTCCTGGGAGCATGCAGACACGAGCTGAGTGTGAAGGTGCCAAGATGCAAAGGGGGCCAATATTGACTAGTGTATTGCAGCAGCAGGTAAAAAATGATAATAAAAGGTAACAAGATGGAGATGGGATGTGTGATTGGGTCCCTCTGGAGTCATGAAGATAATTACTGTTTGAAAGTTGTTGATGAGGAAGGAGGTACTGGATTAGCATTAGCATTTTTCTTCTTGAAAAGAAGGCCTAATGGAGAATGTACCAATGTGCAGTGAAGTTGAGGAGGAAGGAGAATACCTTTCTGTTAGGTAAACTGGAATAACAGTAACCAAGCTGCTTCCCATGGCTGAACCTAACTGGTTAATCCCACTGTGATGGGGTTAGGAGCCTGGATTTCTAGAGTCAGTAAACTGGGTTCAGTCTTTTTTTAATTCAGCTACTTTTAAACAAGCTTTATGAATCTATGCAAGTATTTACTTTTGCAAGCCGCAGTGTCCTCATCTGTCAAATGGAGATGAGACTATAGGATAAGGATGTAAAGGAGGCTTCCTAAGGAGCACAGTGTTAAAGAATCTGCCTGCCAGTGTAGGAGATGCAAGACATGCGGGTTCGATCCCTGGGTGGAGGAGGTCCCTTGGAGGAGCAAATGACAATCCACTCCAGTATTCTTGCCTGGGAAATCCCATTACAGAGGAACCTGGTGAGCTACAGTCCGTGGGGTTGCAAAGCGTTGGACATGACTGAGAACAAGCAAGGATGTAAAGAGATAGCGGAGCCAACACATGTGGTGAACCTTCAAGGAGTTGATAGCTAATTTTATCACTACACCAAACATTAATCCACATCCTGAGATCTCCTCTATCATCACCAAGTTAGCTCCAAAAATCCCTCTCTCTAAGTTTTCTGAAACTATCTGTGGTCTTGTTTTTTGTCTTCCCTTCCCATCCTCCTTTTTTGTCTTGTCTCTTCTCTCAGTTGGTAGCAGTGGGCAGTGACCATATGCCAAACTTCTTGAAAGAGTAACCATGTATCACCTGAAGCCTGGGCTCTAGGAATTCTCCTTCAGTGATTACAAAATAGACAAGGGGAGTGACTGTCTCATCTCCCCTCCCACTTTCCCCCAGGGCAGACCAGGTGTCTGCTCAGGGCTGCAGCGTCAGCAGGTCCTGCCTGGTGATTAGCATGCAGCTGCAGCAGTTACAGCCGAAAAAGCTCTGTCTTATTTGGGGGGAAGGGCAGCTGCTAGGGTGTTGGGACACGCTTGAATGTCCTAAATAACTACTGAACTGTTGTTCACTGGCAGGGAAGATGTTTTCCCAAATAAAGTTCAGGCTGCCACTGGGACTGTCTTCCTCCCATCTCTGCTTATTAAATGTTTTTTTCATTCTTCAAAATCCATTTCAAGTATCAATTCCTCTATAAAAGCCTTTCTTGGCCTCTCCTCTGGACTCCCTTTCCCTCTTATCTCAGGCCCCGTGTTTGTCACAGAGGCTTGCACTTTTTTTTTTAATGCTATACAATTTTATTTATTTATTTTTATTAGTAGGCTTGCACTTGTATCCTTGCCTAATCTGGTGATATAGTCCAGTGCCTCCTCATGGAAAGGAACCTCTTAGGGAATGCTTGTCTTTCATAGACTGAGCCTGAATGGTTTAATCTACGTATATCTTGGTTTGATAACCATTCTCTACTTTGAATTCACTCTATCCTTGATGCTTAAAATAACTAATTAACTTGATGGCCCCTGGCTTCTGATTCTGACCCTGTGGCAGGCTGGTCACAAGGGAAGTACCCAGAGGATCGAGGTGACTATTTTAACTGGTGGATGTTATCTTCACTCATCTGTACTATAGTGACAGTTGTACTTGTTTCTCTCCCTTAAGCAAAAAGATCCCAGACATTTGTTTTTCTACCTAAAAGTAGGCTTTGAACATAGCAGGTACTCAAATGATTAATAATTTGAATCTGATTAACTAATTTACTTAGCTACCTAGAATAATGTTATGAATCCGGTCCTATGTATGTGCGTGTGTGTGTGCTGCCTATTGAGAGAGAAAAAGATAAAAAAGGGGAATAGGAAAGACACAGTGCCACCAGGCTCAATCTTAGGTTACATTTTGAAATGTTTCCTTCATTTCTTTTGCATTTTCCCTTTCTATAAGAAGTCAAGATTCAAGAACAGATGATCAATTTTAGTTTCAAGATTCATTTCTAGGAATTATTCTCCTATTAAGATCTACTCTAACTAAAATATCACATTGCTGTTTATAAATTAGTGTGACTTTTTCAAGATCTTATGTCTTGCAGAGACATTTACATTTTAATATTTCCCCATTAACAGATTTAAGTTCCTGCTGTGTACTGATATTGGGTATTACTTGGGGGTTGGAAAATATCCAATGTCAGGTAACAATAGTTCTCTATTCTGGCTGATCATCCAAGTCACATGGGAGTTCTTATTCCTGGGCCCATCCCTGGAGTTCTGAGTCAGAATATCTTCAATGGGTCCCGTGCTGGGAGTGTATCTTTAAAAAGCTTCCCAAATGCAGCAGAGGAGCAACTGATTCTGGAACCACTGGAGTAAAAAGATTGGGTCCTGCCCACTAGATATAAGAAAAACCCAATCACAAGCTTTGATTATGTTAAAGTGAAGTGAAGAGAAGTTGCTCAGTCATGTCCGACTCTTTGTGATCCCATGGACTATAGCCTACCAGGCTCCTCGGTCCATGGGATTTTCCAGGCATGAATACTGGATTTGGTTTCCATTTCCTTCTCCAGGGGATCTTCCCGACCCAGGGATCGAACCCGGGTCTCCCACTTTGTAGGCAGATGCTTTACCGTCCAAGCTACCAGGGAAGCCCTGATTATGTTATTAAATATATAATTTACATATTTAAAGCACATTGCCATTTGTGAAGCATTTTATAAAGTGGTCTTCTATACTTCATTCTTTCTGAAAGGTTTGTAAAGCAGTTGTTTTTATGTTATCTTCTTTATTGGCTATTGAGGCAAAGACATAAACTGATTTGCCTAGAAACCCAAAGTCTTTACCAAGCCTAGATCCGAACACTGCATATCCCGTGCTCTTTACTCAACAAACAAATTCAGTGGTCCAAGGAATGTGTTCATGGGGAACAAACATCTAGCACAACAAACAGAATTTGTGGGGCATCTACAAGGGACACTGCTGATCCAGAGACATCAGTAAGCATGTGTTTTCTGGATAAAAATCTAATGAGAGAAAAAGCATAATTTTTTTCTCCTTCTCTTTAAGTATGCTAGTATTTATGGTCTGTCTTTTGTCTGTTTAGGGGTTCCTAAAGTCATACACATGTTTACTTGTAGGATTAGCCAACTTTCATTGTTTCTGCTGTTTATTTTCATGCTCCTTCAAAAGTGAAAGTGAAGACTATATTGTAAATCAACTATACCTCAACTTAAAATGTTTAAAAGAACAGTCTATAAAAGAAAAAAAATCATCTTTCTAAATTCCATATATATGTGTTAGTATACTGTATTGGTCTTTATCTTTCTGGCTTACTTCACTCTGTATGATGGGCTCCAGTTTCATCCATCTCATTAGAACTGATTCAAATGATGGTAACGATAACCCTATATGCAAAACAGAAAAAGAGCACAGATGTACAGAACAGAATTTTGGACTCTGTGGGAGAAGGCAAGGGTGGGATGTTTCGAGAGAACAGCATCGAAACATGTATATTATCGAGGGTGAAACAGATCACCAGCCCAGGCTGGATGCATGAGACAAGTGCTCAGGCCTGGTGCACTGGGAAGACCCAGAGGAGTCAGGTGGAGAGGGAGGTGGGAGGGGGGATCGGGATGGGGAATACATGTGGATCCATGGCTGATTCATGCCAATGTATGACAAAAACCACTACAATATTGTAAAGTAATTAGCCTCCAACTAATAAAAATAAATGGAAATATATATATATATATATAAAGCCATAAAAAAAATCAATATACTGGAATTTATTTTTAAAAAGAGAGACAGAGAGAAGCTCTCACTGCCCTTTCTTCCCACCATATCTATACTCGATAAGCCCTTTCTCAAGGCTACTTGTCTTTAGCATCACCCATTTTTTAAACTAACTCAGCTTTATGTCAGTTCCCTGGGAACATCCATTGAAATATATGACAATAGGCATAAGCTGATGGACATATGGGTGCCCATTGTCAAGAGTTTTTATAAGGTTTTGTAAAATGATAGACATAGTCATTTCACAGAATAGAAAAAGAGAGCTATATGGGATAAGAACAGATATATATAGCATTAAAAAGAGATATCCAAATGTAATTAAGGAAGAAGGCTGATGTCCTGTGAGACAAACTTTAAAGCTCTGCAGCCAGACCATGGTTCTCAAATTCTGTGCAGGTGACAAGTGACCTGTAGAATAAAGTGCGCATCTGAGAGGTTCTTCATTCATTGGGCCCTGCTGGCCTCCCCAGTCTCTGTTCCAGTCCTACCAGACTACCTGTGGTTCTCACAACATTCTTGCTTTCTTATCTGCCTTGGCTTTGGCTCATGGCACCCATTCTGATGAAAATAAAAAATCATCGATTCTTGCTCCGGGACATCCTTTCCTAAGGTTATAATACCTATTCAAAACTGGGTTCAAGTGTTATTTCTTAACCAAAGCCTTTTGGGGCAGCAGTCTCACCCAAATAAACTGGCCATTCTCTCTTCTTCCCTGTCTGAGTAAATGCCAGCCTTGTTCTTACAGTTGCTCTCACCAAGAATTTTGAGTCACTCTTGAATTATCTGTTTCTTGCATACCACGTCCAACTATGTTGCTGTTGTCAACCAGCTATGTTGTTATCTCTCCTGTCAGACTGTGTCCCCAGTACAATCATTTCTTGCTATCTCCAAAGCTTTCACCTTGGTCTAAGCCACAGTTGACTTTCAGATGGGTTATTTTCATAGCCTCCTAATTACCATCTCTGTTTTCATCTTGGTCCCATTTCTGTGTATTCTCTACATGACAGTAAAAGCGATCCTTTAAAAAGTGTAAGATGGATCATTCTTTAACACACTCGAATAGCTTTCCATCTCCCACAGAGAAAGCATCAACTCCTAACAGTGCCTACAATACCCTGATAGAGCCCACCATCTCTCCAACTTCCTCTTCTACCTTTTACCACCACATTAGGGTCCTTGTTGGCTCCTGTACTTCAAATGTCAGGATCTTTGCACTTGCTCTGCTTTTAACTGGAACCCTCATCCCTTGACAGCCATGTGGTATATGTATATTCTCTTATTTCCTTTAAGTCTTTGCTCACATAGCACCTAATCAGAGAGGCCTGTCTTGAGCATACCGCACAAAATATCAGTAGCAAACTCAAACTCCCCACCACCTGATTCTGTTTTTTCTTATGCATAGCATTTCTCTCTACCTGACACAAGATTTATTATTTATTTGTTCATCATCTATCTTTCCATATACAGCAAGAATTTTTTTTCTTACTATGTCTTCAGCAGTTAGTATAGTGCTTGATGCAAGTCTTTTGATCTGTCAGCTGTGACCTGGAGAAAAGCCATCATAGATGCCAAAGCTTAAAAAATGTGTGGAAATAATTGGAGAAATTTATTTTGTGACTTTTTTTCTTGACATGCTTACTTTTTTTATTAGTGGGCAGAAACTCAAGACCTTCCGTCGAAGATGTGAGAGTAAGTCTCACTACCTAGGCTAATAAAGCTCAATCTGTTTAAGCTGCCAATTTGTTAATTTAAAGCAATGTGTACATGTGTGCTCAGTCATGTCAGACTCTTTGTGACCCCATGGACTGCAGCCTGCCAGGCTCCTCTGTCCATGGAATTTTCCAGGCAAGAATACTGGAGTGGATTGGCATTTCCTGCAACAAGGGATCTTCCCAACCCAGGGATCGAACCTGCATCTCTTGCGTCTTCTGCGTTGATAGGCAGATTCTTTACTACTCTGCCTCCTGGGAAGCCCTTAAGGCAGTATACTATATTGGTTTAAGTGTCAAGGCTCTGGAGTCAAGCTTTATATTTTAAACTGTAGTTTGAACATTTTCTAGTTGTGTGACCTTGAAAAATGACAACTTATCATTTCTGGTCCTTGTATATAAATGGGAATAATAATATATCACTTCATTATGTTATGAGAGAATTTAATGGCATATATTCATAAAACTCTTAAAATAGTGCTTTATAAATAGGAAAATCTTAATTTTAGCTATTATTATTATTCTAGAATATACTTGTATTACTTTTAATTGCACATAATAACTGTCACAGGGTATTTCTTAGTAGGTCCTGCTGGTCTTGACTCAAAGAATAAATAAAAGCTATTTATGATGAGTATCTATTTCTATAAAAGTAGTTCATATATTAGTCCATACATTTTCTTAAGTTTAAAATGCTTTGCCTGGCACATCCTCAGTTCAGCCCAAGCCAAGCTATTCTACATTCTTCATTAGAAAACTCGAAGTTAGTAGAGTTTCATTTTGTGTATCCTGTGAACTACTGAAGAACGATTGTTTTAGTAACAGCAGAGTGCCAGACGTAAGTTTGGTCCTGATATAGTTAACACTTTAACATTAAAAAAGCAGGACTGGAGACTGGTACTCAATTTTACTTACAAAATAAAGGAGGACACAGAATGTTCTTTAGAGGCAAGCAAGTAGATTGTAATTTGGCTTATTCTCTTGTATTTAGTTGAATTTGCCTCACAAGCAACCATTACCCAAATAGCACCTGAGAGTCCACATGTGTTCTCAAGAGATAACTCTTCATTCTGTGTATGGGGTGCTTATAGCAGATAGTGTGGGACCTGGCGACCAGTGTGTATCTCGATAGAATGCAGCATTCCCACTAATTGACGTCTTACTAGAAACAAGGTGAAGTCACCAACTGCTTTGCCATCAGGACAGTTATACAAAAAGAGAAACATTGAAGTATAGCTCAGAGAGGAAGATGATGGATTCTGAATCTCACCTCACAGAAAGGAGAAGGGACCACGTAGTTAGTGATGAGAACAGCACTGGAATCCCTGTCTCCTCAAGTCCATTCAGTGCTCTCTCCACGCTCCCGTGCTTGTAGGGCAGGTAAAAGAGGTTGTGAGTTATCTAGAAATCTGGGTAAAGGTCATCTTGATTTTAAAAGGACTCATAAATTCTGAATGAGAGTAAGTGGACTCAAAGTAACAGGGGGGATATTATAAGACACCACATTTGTGAAACGTTGCCTTTGAAATGAATGGCTTTGCTCTGAGGTATTTCTTCTCAGGGGACGTGACCAGATGAGCTGGCAAGGGAAGATAGAAGGACCAGCAGCCCTTGTAGGAATAAGTTGTGTGAAAACGGGTCAGGTCTCAGGCCTACAAACGTGAATGGAGCGTCATTGTTCTCTGGGAGATCTGGGGAAATGCATTTACCCCAGTTTTTGATTAAATGAGGGAAAACACACTTCACAGACTGAGCACAAGTTTGTTCTGTTTTTTTTTTTTTTTAATGCAGGGTTTTGCCAATTTATTTCAGTGGAAAACAGTTAACTCTTTCCAGTCAGAGACATAGGAAGCAATTAGAGCTATTCTTGCATAAAATAAGCTAAAAATAAGCTAAAAAGATGATCCACCTTGAGTAATCTAAGATTATGTTAAAATAATTTACCTTCCAAATCTCATTCTTAAACCCTCAGGTCTTTGTTTACTTTAATAGAGTGACAACCACTTGTACTATGCTAGAAAAAAATGAGTATTAACCTATAGGTACATCTTACTTTAAAGTAAGCCCAACTTAAATTCAGATTATGAAGAATATAGATTAGGAAGTATTTTTATTTTATCCGTCTTTATAAGATTCTTTAATATATAAAGTCTCTTATGTGTTTGACATCAATTGATTTATAAATATCTGAATTACACTTGGCTTTTTATACCCTGCCTAAAAATATATGATTATCAAGAAGAGGGTGAGATAGGTATGCATACAAGTATTTTGAATTATACATGGTTTTTCAAATAAAACACCCCACTATAATGGGATGCCCGAAAAGGCTAAGTGGCTTGGACAAGACTTGAAGATGAATTTATGCAAGGGATGAGTCATCAGTTCTGAAAAGTAGTAGAAAAATTAGGAGTATTCTCGAAGTGTGGTCTATGAACTACTTGCACTAGAATCCCTTAAATGTTATTATAAACTCAGATTAACCCCATACACTGATCTCAGGGAGCGGGCCCCAATAATTGCATTGAATGAGTTCCTTAGTTTGATCTGATGCACCCCAAAGGTTGTCAGCCATTGGGGTTGACTTCATTTAGTGGTTGAGTTTCACCTTTGCAAAAATTGATGATCCTAGTTTGAACAAATAAAAATCCAAGCTCCTCAGTTTGTGATTAAACACTTATAAGCACATTTTTTTGAACCCAAACACTCTTTCATTAGGTGAACTAAAGAGGAAACCCTGTGCTATTGCAGCTGAGTTTGTTTCACCTCTTTGCTTAAGACCTCCTGTTTCCCACCAAGCAGATTAGTGGTATCTTTCTTCTGTATATGCTGTTACATTTGTTTACAAGGCTAGTTCCTGTCTCCCCACTGTGATCCCCATGAAAGAAGAGAAATTATAGCTAGGAGATACTTCACTAGCTAAAGGCAAATGGAATCACTGGGTATGTATGCATCACTTGAAAGCATACAAGTGTGAAAGTAAAATAATATACAGTTCCTATCACTCATACCCCATGTTGTCCCTGATTCACTGAACAGTCTCTTAGAAGGCACTTGCCTCCTCTCTCTCCTTTGGTGCCTTCACCTGCAAAAATGTGAAAGTGTTAGGCTCTTTCCTATTTCACTGAACTGTTGAAGAGAAAGTAGAGCAATGGTGTTTCAGTGTTCTATGGACAGATTTATTAATATGCCGGATTTGTCAACCTTCAAGGCCAAGCAATGGAGGAAAGGAGAGATATCTGAATGCAGAGTTCCGAAGAATAGCAAGGAGATAAGAAAGCCTTGCTCGGCAATCAGTGCAAAGGAATAGAGGAAAACAATAGAATGGAAAGACTAGAGATCTCTTCAAGAAAATTAGAGATACCAAGGGAACATTTCATGCAAAGATGGGCACAATAAAGGATAGAAATGGTATAGACCTGATAGAAGCAGAAGATGTTAAGAAGAGGTGGCAAGAATACATAGAAGAACTGTACAAAAAAGATCTTCATGGCCCAGTTAATCACGATGGTGTGGTCACTCACCTAGAGCCAGACATCCTGGAATGTGAAGTCAAGTGGGCCTTAGGAAGCATCACTACGAACAAAGCTAGTGGAGGTGATAGAATGCCAGTTGAGCTATTTCAAATCCTAAAAGATGATGCTGTGAAAGTGCTGCACTCAATATGCCAGCAAAATTGGAAAACTCAGCAGTGGCCCCAGGACTGGAGAAGGTCAGTGTTCATTCCAATCTCAAAGAAAGGCAATCCCAAAGAATGCTCAAACTACCGCACAATTGAACTCATTTCACACGCTAGCAAAGTAATGCTCAAAATTTTCCAAGCCAGGCTTCAGCAATATGTGAACCGTGAGCATCCAGATGTTCAACCTCATTTTAGAAAAGGCAGAGGAACCAGAGATCAAATTGCCAACATCCACTGGATCATCGAAAAAGCACGAGAGTTCCAGAAAAACATCTATTTCTGCTTTATTGACTACGCCAAAGCCTTTGACTATGTGGATCACAATAAACTGGAAAATTCTGAAGGAAATGGGAATACCAGACCACCTGACTTGCCTCTTGAGAAACCTGTATGCAGGTCAGGAAGCAACAGTTAGAACTGGACATGGAACAACACACTGGTTCCAAATAGGAAAAGGAGTACGTCAAGGCTGTATATTGTCACCTTGCTTATTTAACTGCTATGCAGAGTACATCATGAGAAATGCTGGGCTGGAAGAAGCACAAGCTGGAATCAAGATTGCCGAGAGAAATATCAATAACCTCAGATATGCAGATGACACCACCCTTATGGCAGAAAGTGAAGAGGAACTAAAAAGCCTCTTGATGAAAGTGAAAGAGGAGAGTGAAAAGGTTGGCTTAAAGTTCAACATTCAGACAACTGAGATCATGGCATCCGGTCCCATCACTTCATGGCAAATAGATGGGGAAACAGTGGAAACAGTGTCAGATTTTATTTTGGGGGGGTTCCAAAATCACTGCAGATTGTGGTTGCAGCCATGCAATTAAAAGACACTTACTCTTTTGAAGGAAAGTTATGACTAGCCTAGACAGCATATTAAAAAGCAGAGACATTGCTTTGCCAACAAAGGTCTGTCTAGTCAAGGCTATGGTTTTTCTAGTAGTCATGTATGGATGTGAGAGTTGGACTATAAAGAAAGCTGAGTGCTGAAGAGTTGATGCTTTTGAACTGTGGTGTTGGAGAAGACTCTTGAGAGTCCCTTGGACTGCAAGGAGATCCAACCAGTCCATCCTAAAGGAGATCAGTCCTGAGTGTTTATTGAAAGGACTGATGTTGAAGCTGAAACTCCAATACTTTGGCCACCTGATGCGAAGAGTTGACTCATTTGAAAAGACCCTGATGCTGGGAAGAATTGAAGGCGGGAGGAGAAGGGAACGACAGAGGATGAGATAGTTGGATGGCATCACCAACTCAATGAACGTGAGTTTGGGTAAACTCCGGGAGTTGGTTATGAACAG